GGCCTATACAATTTGCGGGGGCCAGCCGATGTTCAAGTAAGTGTTTTTATCCTCCCAGACAAGTCTGGTACCAATTAACCGACCCCGGAGGGATGGAAGGCTTGGTTGGCCCGGGCGACTCACGACCCAGGATTTGATCCCCGGACCGCTCGCGTGGTGAGCGCGCCACTTGTCACTACACCACTTCCGCCCTCGATATAACTGATAATGGCTGATAAGATGCGCTAGAACGCAAAAGTCGTCGATTCCGTTGCCTGGCTCGCGTTGACACCAGAGCAACCATACTTACAAGTGTTATGTGGGGTGGGACGGGGACATTGTTGGTGGGTGCCAGAAACTGATAACGATTGATAAGGGCTGATAAGGCGCGCCAGAACGCTGAAGTCGTCAGTTCCGTTAACGCGACCGCATCGGTGTGATGAGACCACCATATCTACCTTCCTATCGACTACCTTAGCCCTTACGTTGTAATTCACGTCCTTAGGGGAGCGCGAGGTATTCGTCCTTTAGCTCACACTAGTCGCCATTGGATCACTTTTTTAGGCGCTAGCGCTATTGGCGTACACTTTCGAGCCGCGAAAACGGCACATCTCTGAATCTCTTCGTTGGCTACCCTTCCCACCCGCAGAGCAAATTCTCCGACATGACCTAATCTGGGGTTGCTGCTTTAAGTCTCTTTTACGCGACGCGGCAGCGTGTACATCGTGACCACCATCCACAGACTTTGTGTATAGAGAAGTAGACAGACTTGGACAATCGCCGAACTAGTGCTGCCCGTAACCCCTCTTTTGCCCCTACACTCTTCGCCCTCTCTCCACATTTTGCCCTCCCTCCTTGTCTCTGGCACTGTCGCGGATGCCAACCACCACTATCATCCTCCTTAAGATTCCTTTACTGTGCTGCGAATTTCTATATTATTTCGGTGGTTCCACTGTACATTTTATGATTTACAACGTTCTAATCTTACAAAGTATTCTTCGGTTAATGTTCCAGATACAAACGTTATGTATTTTGCGTTTTATCGTGGAGATCCTGACAATCTAGCGCCGCGTATACGGATGAATAACCAAATTTGTAGCCTTCAACTGGTTACTTTGAATTTGATTTTGATTCCAAATTTGAAGTCTGAATGCCAGCTTCACATTAAAAAAAGGAATGCTGCAGCGTAGCTGTTTTTTTATCTTCTATAGGGGAGTTCTAGACTCCTTTTTACCAAGAAGTACGCCTTTTCGATTGCTAAATTGTGCTGAAAACAGGGTTTCGATGGAAAATTCCGCTTAAGTGAGGACCGCAAGCATATTTTGTGCGTAGTGACCTGGAGCCTGAAGACTATATTCAAGACGAGAATTGCTGAAATCATTTAGAAACGTTCAAAGAACACATGTGATATCCTATAACAAAATGATGGAAGCAAAAAAAAACTTTTGGTGTGTCTCAAGGCACTGCGTGAATTGACAATGCTTGTAACGGAAGTAACTCTCGCATGATTTCTCACTGCGTAGTTAATCTAGGTCGATGATATTTTTCACGCAGAAGGAAAATATCAGGAAATGTTACAGCATAGTGCATAGGAATAATGATAAAAAACAATGGAATGATGGGACAAGTCACTTTCCCTCAAAGAGAGTGACTGAAGCGGTTGATAGGTGAAGCTATCTCCAACTCATAGCGAGCATTCAAAAGAGAGGAGCTGGTTCTTGATGGGGTGTATGAACACTACGGACTGCAAAGCATGCTCTGCTACGTGCTCCATACTGGCCGCAAGTTTGTTAAGAGTTCTTGTGGAAAAACATTCTTAACACCCCGACCGACAACTGGAGGGAGCTGTTGGCGCATGACGGTGCAATACAATAGCTCTCCTGTATGCACTCCACACGTTCCTCGTAGGTATTGAATGGGGAAAGCAGACAGGCTCAACCAGTCGCCAGGATCCTTGCGTTCCAAGAATTTTCACCTAGGCTGCTTGATGCGCTCGCACATGTCCTCCACAATAGTAAAATTGGAACCAAACGCACCACTAAAAAGGTGGGAGTAGCACAGCGTCACAATAAAGTATCAGAAAGCATTCCGCGATCGGCAGTTGGAAGGTCGGTACGCCCTTACAAATTTATATTTCCCGACATCATGTCGAACGTTCAAAACAAATGTCTAACGTGGTCGTGGGTGCATTACCTGTTCTTATTTTTATGTGGGCATATTTAGAATCCACATGCAATTTGCCACAAACTTAAAAGTGCATGCGTTTCTCCAAATTGGTGGTCCATTTCAATTGTCTCGGTCAAACCTATCGAATGTTCCCACCGATAGGCGGGTTCTGAAGAACACCAGGGCAACTGCAGCCTGTTATTAACGTAGAAATTTTTTTGTCTGTTGCAAAGCGTAGCAGTCACCTGCTGTTGCGGTTGTGGTCGGTCCATCATCCCTCCTATATGGACAGCAGTGGCCGTGATTCATATTTCTCCCCATGCGCATTAAAACAATGCTGTGAGCAACACCAACTCCTGGCCACACTCGTAACAATCTTCCTTCTTCCAGTTTCCCGGTGATTCTTCCTCGCGTGAAGTCACCCTAGTGTTGTCTCTGAGACTTGCTGTAATCAAGAACACCACTACATTCCACAGTAACTTCTCCCTTGCTCAGTACACTCCCTCTTGTCCTGTTCTACCAACCCCTTCTGCGTGGTCAGTCCCTTTTGTCCAGATTAAAGCCGTCTGCGTTTGTCCATGAAGTCCACTTTCTCGTGCAAGACTTAAAGACTTTTCGCATCGTGCTCTAACAATTCCATCCAATTCCACAGAGGTTCGACGTTCGATGAATCTTGGCATCGTGTGTGGTATTCGTATCAGATTGCTTCTGAAGCCACAAGCCAAGATGATACAAGACTTTATTCGGCTAACGTTTCGGCTTGGTCGCCTTCGTCAGAGCCTGGAAAGTCAAGGATCAGTGCGACCTACCGCAGACATCATTTCCAACTTCAACAGGCTCGGGGCTTGCTGCACAGGACTGACCTGCGGGGCTTGTTGCATACGGCCCCTGAAGTGACGACAATGTTATAAATTCTTCATGTTTGGCAGTGGTGCTAGACAGGTACGGCACCCCAGGTGAAACGTTTTGATCCAAAGCATCAGCTGTCAACTGTCAAA